GCGTTAAATCCCCAACGGCGGGCAAACAGACGCCAGACTGACACGGCTGAGGGCAGACGAAATCATCGACCTCCTCCTCGACCAGCCCTCGTTCGAATGCGACCCCATCAACCGCCTCGAGGGCGACACGCCGCTGCACACCGCCATCCGCTGGCTCAACGCCGAGCCCCCCGCCCAGCGGGCCTTTGGCAAGGCCCTCGTCGAGATGATGCTCGAGGCGGGCTCGAACCCGCGCGTCAGGAACAAGGGCGGCCTGACGGCCCTGCAGCTCGTCGACCCGCGCAACGTCGAGCTGCGCCAGCTCATACAGCAGCACGAGTATACGAACCAGAACGCGGGCGACTTCATCACCGTCGACGCGGGCGCCGCGCACAGCAAGGGGAATAGTATTGATCGTGTGGCGGCTGTGGGGCAGCAGAGCGATGGTGATGATGACGATGATGCCGAGTTCAGCGGCAGTGACGAGGAGGAAAGGGCCGAGTGGGAGCGGAGGAGAAGGGAAAAGCGGAAATGATTCTGTCGAGAGCGGTCGGTTTCCTGAGCATGTCTAGATTCTGCTTTGATTGGCGGCGTTGCCTTTTTTTTTTCCCTTTTCCGAGCTTGGGACGTACAGCATGCTATGAATATACGAGTGTTTACTATCAGCAATCACAAATTAAGCGCTAGACCAGCTCACTTGGCAGCAAGTAGACGCATTACTACCAAAAGCACAGCATTGACTACTAGGCCTAATCGTGTAAACTGAAACAGTAGGGTATATGGTTCTAGGATCTGATCCATCTTGCAAGTCTTTATTCCTCCTTGTGCCTCACGACTATTTCATAACGGTTCTCCATCACTATCCTACCCAGGTGGTGGGGCGCAGTGGCTACAATTGACAAGAACAACACAACCCAACATCTCCTCACACCATTACCAGAAAAGCAATGAGTGAGGCAAGCAAAGAAACCGTCAGTCCGTTCGATGGTATCAGCCCGCCAGCTGCTCCCTTGTCAGCTTCGATATACGTGACGTTCCGAAGCATCCTTATAGACCGTCTTGACAGGCTGCCGCCACTTGCCAACTCAGATAACTCTTTGCCCAACTGCCGTAAAATATTAGTCGATCGACCAGATGGACACATGACCACCTCCCAGCCACCTCCCTTGGGAATGATAAACGTCGACTTTTGGTCGTCAAAGGCAAAGCTGTATGCGTCGGGACACACCGCTTTGACTGCTTTACTGTAGCTCGATGGCTTGCAGATATTTGGGTCGTGATACCTTCCGACACAGCAATCTTTATCCGAGCCACTTGCCGCACAGGCACTGTTGCAAGGTGCAAATGCTGGCCGTTGAATGTTGTCGTCGGGATACGGGTATACACCGTCTCCAGGCTTAGTGGGAGGAAAGGCGAGATTGGGCCACGGACACCAGTTTTCAACGCTTTGATTCGTTTCATCTGGTTCCCACGGAACCGGGAATGTAGAGTTGGTGTAAGCCGTGCCTGTCTTGGCTTGGCTGAAGAGCCACCCTGCCGTGGCAATGCACGCGCAGTTTGTTAGATTTGGAGGGATGTATGTGGTATTCTTGGCAGGGATGTAGTTGATTCCCATAGGGAGGTTGTAGCCATCAACTAAAGATATGTCGTAAAAGGTTTGCATCCCAGTCACTCCTCCGGCCAGGTTGAACTCTGCAAGTGTCGCAGGAGTTGCTCCCTGAAGGCAATGTTAACGTCGACACAGAACAGGACCAGGGGCTGATATGGATGAAGCAAACTTACGCTAAACTCGCAGTCAAGCTTAGAAAAACAGTCCCCTGTCTTGCAAGCGCACGACTCACCATTGACTGTACAATTCGTCCTTCCCCAAACTCGGCCCTGCCAATCTGGTGCAACCCATAACGTCTTGTTCTTTCCAGGCGCCAATTCGAACCCCCCAGTTCCGGGCCCAGTACCAGATTGGGTGGCAATGCCAGGCCAGATTGTCGTTTCGCATTTGTTGGTCACAACAAGTGGTACTTTACCCTCCCAGTCTTCTGGAGGACCTCTCTTTGCGGGGATGCTCCGTTTTGTATGGCGAAAGAACTCTGCCTGCCAGTGTCCCTTTCTGTGGTGAGCTGGTATTCCCAAGTGGGCTGCTGGAACGAGGGATCCAAAGGTAACGAAGATGAGCAGCAGTCGACTCATGGAAGATTGATATCGAGGTGTTGCAGCTGCAGAACGTGGTGACATCACCATTGCTCCCTTTTTTGTTGGCGGAGGGAGCCTCGTCTTGGTGTTATCAGCCTCCTGCTGTTGTTGTTGTCGTCGTTAGAGCAAGAAAAGAAGGTGGCAGGGGTGACAGTTGTGAAGTCCAAGGCAAAAGTACTCCGCGTTACTGAAAAATAGAAATTCTCATCTCGTTTCGTCCTTGAAGCGTTAAATTTTGTTAGAAAATATATGTTCGAATGGCGATTTGAGAAGCTGAAACTGGCTTGTAACGTCAGAAGCCGCCGTTGAGAGTTGGCGAAGCGATTCTCCCCCAATCGCCGAATAGTTCATGCGCCAACCCTATCAAACTAGGTTCACCCCTGCCTAATATCGCGAGCCACCAGGTCTCAAGAAGAAGCAATGCAGGATTGGATGTGTGAAGGGAAAAATTGAAAGAAGACTGCAGCACGTGTGCGCTGAGTTTAAGGCAATGCTGCGTAGTTCAGAGGTATGAAGGAGGCGCCAGTCCGGAGGAAGCAGACAATAAATATAAACTGGACCAGGAGGTGCGAAGTGGAGCAACGAATATAATAAATAATACAAGCGTAATTCTGGAAATGGGAACGCCTAAAAAGATCACAGGTGGCCTGTCCAGCAGGATTGGCAAAGGAGAAGCTGCTTGAGAAATGAAAGGGTGAAGAAGCGTTGTTCGTTTGCCTCGCTGGCCAAGAACGGATCCATGGCCATCTGAGAGTGAAGGTATGACGCAGGAAGGACTGGCTGTCATGTTCCCGTTTCTAAAGTTGGCAGTCGCGACAGGGACCAGGAACGTGCTGCCCCACCTTCACCATGCGCCCACAAGGTTCAATGTTGCATCCGTCCATCGTGACAATCCATCGATCCACTCCCTTTGAGTGTGCGCAGGTGCCATTTTGGTAACGACCAAGGATGTAAACCAATTAAAGATGTGAGATTAAAAGATACTTAATTCACCTGTGAACTTATATGGTAAATAAAGTATCTTATATACGAGGAGCTATAAGGATGTACCTAGCAAGTACTAGAGAAAAGTGGAGTATATACATAACTGGCACCTGCGCACCCTCAAAGGGATCCATTAACCAACCATCCCACCAACCGGACCCCGCCAACCCGCCAACCCGCCAACCTGCCAACTCGACGCCACACTCTTGTCTCACATCTCGATAACGACTTCAGGCCCAAGCCGATAAGGTCCGAAGTCCCTCCACTTGCCACGTAGGGCCGACTCTCTGGCTCACTCACTGCACGAGCAATGCTTGCTTGCAACACATAACATCGATCATCTATCAAAATATTCCTATATTCATAAGACACGTTCCGTCTTCTGCTACTGCGGCATGATGAAATATCCGGCTCCAATATGCTTTGTGCAAAAACAATAAAAAAAGAGGTTGTCTTCTCCAGCTTTTTTAAGATTTCGTCCGCAGTTCTTTGTAATCCAACTAACAATTGAAACTATCGTCCAAGAAGCAAAACCGTTAGTAGCCTCGGCCGTTACATTCACCCCACCAACTCGTAGTTCCCTGGCCGTCACCCTCCATTAGCGCGCTGAATATTCTCCTAGGTATCATTTAATGTCAACTCCGGATGTAAGGTACCCAAGCTCTACTGATAAAGCGCATCAATCGACATCACCGTGTTCCTCTCTGCATTTTTCTTCTTGTCAACTTCCGTTTATCTAAAGCGAGCTCTGCATCGGCCCATGACTTCGCCCTGGCAGACCAATTCGGCGCTGAATTCCGAGCCATCAAGCGTCAGGTAGATATCAAAGTAAACACGGTAAAATGTTCCTTGGGGCGTGTCCATGCGCTCAAAGTCCTTTTCGAGATTCTTGCGCGACAGATCGGAAGTGAGAGTGACGACTTCCTTGATACCTGCTAAATAGTTAGCTGAAAGCCGCCCTTGAATCTTCATTTTCATGGCTTTGAAATGGCCGCAACTTACGGGGATCCTTGGTGTATTCAGGGCACACGTCGTCATCGCAGGCATACAGCACGTCCTCGTACATGAGGGTCGCACCGGGCGCAACTTGTCGGAAGAATGAAACCTTGACTGGTTCGCCGTTCTTGACCTTTTGGCCCTTCTGCACAAAAATTTGCCGGGTGAACTTGCATCTGTCCTTTCCATCCAACGATGGGACACGGTAGGCCTCGGGGTGGTATCCCTCTTTGAATGGCTGTAGAGTAGCCATGAGATAGTGGCGACGAGCAACACGGTGTGTAATGATACGTTCGGTAATGCCAGCGGTGACTGCACCCTTGACGATGGCCGCCACTGAGTCCATGGGCCTCACCACCTTGGACTGGAACTGTGGTGGAACATGTAGCTTGATCTGCTGGAAGAGATACTCCGAAGCACCGAAACCACCAACCACCAAGATGTTTTGTAGCGTTCGGTTCTGTGCCTGGATGGCAATAATTTGGTTTCGGACCAACTCGAGAATTCGGTTGACAACTGGCTCGAAGCATTGCAAAATTTCCTCGTTGGTGAAAGTCATGTAGCCTTCTTCGATGCCGGCCTCGGGGAATTCAGCTTCAATACCGACGTCCACGGCCCACTTTTGTCCATTGTTTCTGAAATCTGCCTTGATTCTGTTTTCAAAGTCCATGATACATTTGGCGTACACTCGACCAGCAGTCTTGGAGCCGTCCGGCAACTTCATTTTCCTAATCTTGGTTCGGAGGATGTTGCTGAAATTGCGGTTCAAAGCGGTGGAGCCACAGGAATCTCCGGATCCAGCGGTACACTCTGCAACGGTAAAAGGGTTCTCCTCTTCAACTTCGTATGCGATCAAATCCACAGTGCCACCACCGCAGTCCACAATCAGGACGGCGTCATGGACTTTTAGGTTGAGAAGTCCCGTCTTGGAGCAGAAAAGAGCGGCAGCCTCGGGTTCCGAAACCAGGGTTAAGCGGTTGTCGTTCTCGTCACGGAGGAAGCCAGCCTGGATGGCGGCGGCTCGGGTGGCGGCTTTACCAGCATCGTTCCAGATGGCAGGGACGGTCAGATAATATCGAATGTTGCGTTCCTCTCGGTTAAACACTTCTCCCAGCGTCTTTTGCAGTGCTGATCGCATAGCTTGTCGAAGCTTGAACAGGTAGTCGGCTGCTACATCGATTTCGGATTTGCCAGGGGGCAGGGGAGGCAGATTGATAGGATCAATATACGTATTGCCACTGAGCATCAGCTGCAACTTGAACCATTCTACCTTTTGAACACCTGGCTTTGGGTAACCAGTTGGCGCCAACGCGTCAGCAATATCTGGACCCCATCCTACAACCTTCTGGTACTGATCATAGTAAA